ATAGATTGAGAAAAACCGAGAGAGATAGAGAGAGAGAGAGAGAGAGTGGTGGGGAAGGGGGGGGGGGGAGGATGACTCGTTGGTCAATCAGGCTGGACTAACATGTTCAAAACTAGCTCAGCGTGCCGGACTAAAACATGCTGGACTTCTGCTTCTGCTTTACATTGTACATCTATTTATGTATATAGTATAGCGCAAAGTCTGTGTGAAAATATGGATAAAGATTTATAAAATTGTCCTCAGTGTTAATCCACTGTAAATTGCATAAAACGGTAAGACGTATCGAGGTTCAAAATCGGAGAGGGTTATTAATTAAAAACCGCCAGCACCAAAAGGTTTGCTAGGCCCGGTAGGCTCCATCGCGCTAGCCCACGATGTATGTCATCACATCTACACTTATGGATTTTGAATGTGGCCATGAAGTTTAAGTGTATCTTTAGTACCTACAGCAAGACTTCATCCCTTAAAGATGAAGTTGAGTTCTGGTCATGCGATTGCATTGTGAAAGAAACGGTGTGGAATCTACCAGAAAAGGTTGATCATCTAGCATATAAGAATTTGTGTGTATTGCAAGGTTCTGGAATCATCAAAATGATAAGAAATTTGGCCAAGACTTGGTAAAATTGCAAACACTGTACACAGAAAGATGTATATGGGACTACACAAACACGTGGCATAAAAATCCTACCCCCGAGCTTACGATGTTACATGACATATTTAGAATATGAAGGCATTTGAAGAGCCATGCTTTTCAGGGAACATGTCTTATCTGATGTTCTTCCTTACTTGCATAATCATGTTAACGCTCACAAATTATTTTTCACCTCTTCCCAGAACTCAACCTTCTCTTTAAAACCAGAACAACATATCGATCCTTGTTATGCATTTTCTGAAGCATGCTTGATATATGAGTCCGACATGAAGATGAATATAGGCAACAGATCTAGCACACTCTACCACATATGGTACAGTCAGGGGCGTCGCTAGACCTTTTCTCCAGTGGGGTGTACACTATGAACATGACTGACAATGAGAGCGGACAAAATATACAGTTCCTCAGGTAGACAAATGAACATCCCTTCACAGCTATTATGTAAAAAGGTGAATATGCATGTGACACCTGTTCTACACATTTTTACATAATAGCAGTGAAGGGATGTTCCTTTGTCTACCTGAGGAACTGTATATTTTGTCCGCTCTCATTGTCAGTCATGTTCATAGTGGTAGCTAGAGGCCACCAATTACCAACAAATACATTACTGTCAGTATGCCGATGTCTACAAATTTAACTCTGTGGCCTGATAGGAAAGAGCGCTGCGTTTGTACGCAAATCTCCAGGGTTCGAAGCCCGATGGGGCGATTTCAAAAATCCTTTTTTTTTTTTTTTTGCTGATATTATAGTAAGGTTGACAATGACAATGAACAATGATTTTTAATGATTGCTGGTGAAACTTCCAGAAAATACAAGTATTACAGTTGTAGTCTCTCTCGAAGCCGTCACAGCAGATAAAATACCGATACAGCTGTACCGACAATATGTCTTACAGCTACATATCTATGCGTATCTTTCTTGCTCCCTCCATAAGATGACTCCACCCAAATCCAAATTTAAAGAAAAGGAAGATCAACTCTCCTGTGTCTGCTACATGTATGTGTCATGAACTGATTTGTATTACCTGAATGTACAATCTATTATATGTAAAGGTAAATAGGAATTGCGTGTCATTATTGTTGTTTGTTATTAATTACTTTCATGTATCAGGCATAATTGTTTATTTTTATTCTGCCCAATCTCTATTTCCTTCTTTTCTAAGCGCATAGGGACTTTCTTTATGTATATGCGCTATACAAGTAGCGTTCATTATTATTTAATACTAATTCTATAAACACCTTACAATGGTACACACATTTGAATATAGCCTATAGATGGAAGATACTAAATACATTGCATTTCTCCTCATAATTCATTAAAACGATTAAATGCACATATATTGTAGTTTATTCTAACTTATCATAATTATCATTATCATTTGAATATTATGTGATCCCCAAGCAAGCATTATCAAGCATTTCAATTTGACGTGAAATTATGAAACTTGGCCATTGAAATTTAGATTTTTATAACTTTATTCAACAAGTTTTTTTGTGGAGAAATAAGTCCACATGGACACCTGCTCATGCTAAATATGAATACAAATTCCACCACCTGGTAATTTTATTTCTCCAAAGCTGTAGAAATAGTGCAGGCGGTTTTAAAAACCAACACATAATACCTGACAAATCAGGGGAGTTGAACCTACCACCTGAAACTATTGAGGACGGGTGCATATGGTTAGGTACACTTGAAGCCATGCACTCTCTTTTTAGTGTCTAGCATCATTTATCCTTTCAATGTTAATTAATCATTCACATTTGATTGTTATATTGATGTACTTTTTGTTTTGGATAATAAACTTCAAACTCAAACTCAACTCAAACTCAACTCAGTTATTTTTCCCACATAAGCAGGCTGATGTTTACAAGCTTCATATGTAATGTTTTTGTAATACATCAATTCATAATAATATGGAAATTGAATTACCGGCCTATATTACAACACGGTAGCTGCACTCTTATAACTTCAAATCCAAATTTAAAGAAAAGGAAGATCAACTCTCCTGTGTCTGCTATGTACAGAACGTGTACGGTTTTCAGTATCATCATTGTTTGTGTCCGATAAATTATAAAACCCAAGGATTCAAACTTCATAGAACTAAATTTACTCATTAAATCATCATTAAACATCTAGTATGATACAATAATATACATATGTAAAACACCTTTGATGAATAATCCAACATATTACATTTATTTTCCAAGATATCTGGAAAATAATACATGTAATTCATAAGTTGTAATAAACACTTTGAATGAAACTAAGATGAAAGATACACAATACATTGCAAGTTTCTCTCATAAGGCATTAACAACGCTATACGTGTAGATAGTTATATCTTTAATCTAATTTATCAATTTAAATCGGGCATTTAAGATTGCTCTCCTCTTCCCTAGCCGCCATCTTTTGCACTCAGAATATTGCTACAAAAACTTATATTTGTATAATTTTTGTCATTCAAATTTTGTTATCACCTTGATTATATTGTTTATAAATAAATATTGCTAAACTTTAATTTGAAAAAAAGAAGAAATTGTAACATCAACCATCATAGACTATAATATTAATGAATATTCTGCTTTTTAGTCTATTGTATAGTCTATTATTTATTTTATCTTGCATTCTACCTTAATGTTCTATTTTTTTCTATATGATATTCTACTTAATTCTGTACTTTATTTTTCTTTATACTTTACTTTATTTTAAAATCTATATTCTAACGATATCAATGCCAGCTATGTACAGCTATTTAAATAAAGATAGGAGACGTACTGCAAACTTGCGACTGATTCGGATCAATTGCTACTCTGTATATAAAGCATGCTGGTCCACGGTGTAAGACGGGGCCGAGAATTCTATTTTTCAAATTCTATTTTTCAAACATTTCTCCTCATAATTCACTAAAACGATTAAATGCACATATATTGTAGTTTATTCTAACTTATTATAATTATCATTATCATTTGAATATATGTGATCCCCAAGCAAGTATTATCATGCATTGCAATTTGACGTGAAATTATGAAACTTGGCCATTAAAATTTAGATTTTTAAATCTTTATTCATCAATTTTTTTGTGGAGAAATAAGTCCACATGGACACCTGCTTATGCTAAATATGAATACAAATTCCACCAGATGGTAATTTTATTTCTCCAAACCTGCATAAATAGTACAGGCGGTTTTAAAAACCAACACATAATACCTGACAAATCAGGGGAGTTGAACCTACCACCTGAAACTATTGAGGACGGGTGCATATGGTTAGGTACACTTGAAGCCATGCACTCTCTTTTTAGTGTCTAGCATCATTTATCCTTTCAATGTTAATTAATCATTCACATTTGATTGTTATATTGATGTACTTTTTGTTTTGGATAATAAACTTCAAACTCAAACTCAACTCAAACTCAACTCAGTTATTTTTCCCACATAAGCAGGCTGATGTTTACAAGCTTCATATGTAATGTTTTTGTAATACATCAATTCATAATGATATGGAAATTGAATTACTGGTCTATATTACAACACGGTAGCTGCACTCTTATAACTTCAAATTCAAATTTAAAGAAAAGGAAAATAAACTCTCCTGTGTCTGCTATGTGTCATGAAATAAACAGAACGTGTACGGTTTTCATTATCATCATTGTTTGTGTCCGATATATTATAAAACCCAAGGATTCAAACTTCATAGAACTAAATTTACTCATTAAATCATTATTAAACATCTAGTATGATACAATGATATATTATGTAAAACACTTTTGATGAATGATCCAACATATTACATTTATTTTCCAAGATATCTGGAAAACGATACATGTAATTCATAAGTTGTAATAAACACTTGAATGAAACTAAGATGAAAGATACACAATACATTGCCAGTTTCCCTCATAAGGCATTAACAACGCTAAACGTGTAGATAGTTATATCTTTAATCTAATTTATCAATTTAAATCGGGCATTTAAGTTTGCTCGCCTCTTCCCTGGCCGCCATCTTTTGCACTCAGAATAGTGCTACAAAAACCTATATTTGTATAATGTTTGTCATTCAAATCTTGTAATCACCTTGATTATATTGTTTCATTGTGATATTTCTTGAAAGTGCCGAATAAATAATAAATAGAATAAATAAATATTGCTAAACTTTAATTTGAAAAAAAGAAATTGTTACATCAACCATTATAGACTATGATATTAACTGAATATTCTGCTTTTCAGTTCATTGTATAGTCTATTATTTATTTTATCTTGCATTCTAAGTTAATGTCCTATTTTTTTTCTTTTTGATATTCTACTAAATTCTGTACTTATTTTTCTTTATATTTTATTTTATTTTAAAATCTATATTCTAACAATATCGATGGCATGCAGCTATTTACTGCTATGTACATAAAAGATAGGAGACGTAATGCAAACTAAGCGACTGATTCGGATCAATTACTACTCTGTATCAGCATGTAGGTCCATGGTGTAAGACGGGGCCGAAAATTCTATTTTTCAAAATCTCTTTCAAACTTTTGCCAAGCTTCTTCCATTTCCTGCGCTAATAGCTCAATCTTGAAATAATCGTGCTCTTTTTTTTGCGGGTGGCGATCTTTAAACCATTTAGATCGGTCAACAATTCTGATGTTTAACTTGTCCAATAGTATACCGCAATAAACATCGTCAAACGGTATTCTCGCTGGGTATTCTCTGGATTTCAGATACAGTTTTTCGACTACTTGATGTGACATAACATACCCATGCCCGAATGGAAATGGAGGCCATTTCTTACCAGGGTAGATGTCCTCTGGTATGTACCATTTACTATTTACGTTACGCTCTGGACTGAACCCCACTACCCTAGACCCCAGCACGAACTGAGAGTGATCATTCGGGGGTAAAGCGTCCAGGTCGTTGACCAGGGTCACGATATCAACCATGACATCGTCATCCATTGACATCAAGAATTCACTGTTATTGCAAAATTGTAAGGCCCATTTAAATCCCATGACGAGCTTGACGGTAAGATTGTAATAATTGTCGTGGAAGCCCACCTTCAGGATATCTCTATGTCTTCGGGCCTCTTCCTGTATGTTTTCTCTCTCGTCTTGTGCTTCGGAATCTCCCACGATGAAAAACAACCTCGTGGACACATTATATTTTGCGGCCCCACCGATGTACGTCTGTCTGGCAGCATTCCTGCGTGCAGTATGACCTGGTGCTGATTTGACTAAGACAAGTAATGTGATATTACCTTTTCCAGCATTGCACTTATCGACAGGATTGATTAAAAAGTCATATATATCCAGCTCAGCTCCTGGTTCCCAGTGTACATTTTTCATCCATCCGCGCAATGGAGCCGGACTTGGTTTATGTTCTGGTGGCATATCTTGTGCCGTGACATTATATCCAACAGCGTTGACATTTCTGTTTTTCTCATTTGAAAAACCAGCTCTTGGTGGTAATCTTCCTTTGGTGACTTTTTCTACTCGATACGACGTAGAGCATATGTTACGGTAGATGGGAATAGCAATGCAGAACACATAAATAATCAACCGGCTCTTTATATATCTCATCGTGTTGACTAGTTAATTCCAATGATAAGAAGAGTAGGGTCCATTAGTATGCTGGCTAACTATTGACAATAATATTGTATTTTCAGACAGATCCGGTCTATGTATCCAAACATATCTTAGAGGGCGCTACCAGGAATCCAAATCTACCACAACTAAGCTACTTTTGAAATATCTGCTAACATCGTAAGGTAAATTTTTACTTGATTATTTGGATTTTCTGCTTTTATTGAACATTTGTGTCCATCTGTGTACTGAAAATATCAAATACCAGATCTAAATCCGTGACCATTACGGGCAAACACAGTGACACGCCCATTTCTAACACGTACGCTATACGGAAGAAGCGGTGTCGGAATTTTGAATCCAATTTGACAAATTTTCTTCGATTGTACTTGACAAACTTGATTGTGTTACAATAACTTTACTATCAGTTCGTGATGAAATAAAAAATATCTAATCTTCTCTTCGTGAAGTTGAAGCATTATCTGCAGATTCAGCGGCGAGAATTGTTACACTTGAACGCGTGACCCTCACTGCTATGTCAAAGACACAGAAGGAATGTGACCTATTAAATGATGCGTGACTCGTTAGTTGCATGGAGATCCACGATCATAAACAAAACCTTCTGCTTTACGGAGTTCCTTAGAGCACACGCTATTCTAGCGGAAGGGAATCGTCGAACTCGGCATAGCCTACCTGAAGATCAAGTCCAGAAAATGCAATTCATCAATGCTCATCGTTCGCCGCGGAAACCGACGTTAACATTAGGGAGTTTTAGATTTGCACGAAGACAACGTGGATTGCTACGATCGACGTCTTTTTAATGCACTGCCTTGAATGGACGTCACACGTATCAGTCCACGTAAATCTAAAAGTCCCTAGTATCTCCCAACGCTCGACCGTCCAACCTAGACCTGATCATTGTTCGATTCGTGTCAATATTCGACCGTGATGCTGTCCTCAGAGCGTTCTATCAATCGCACAAACGACCAGGACCGAAGCCGGCTATTTCAGTTTGCATAGATCTACCCCCGGCACTCAAACGAGTACGCTACAACCACTTCAAAAAGGCAGCCTACGAGTTGAGAAAGCAATTTAAAGGAAATGTCGACAAGAGTTCGTCTTATTGGCACCAAGCTTACTCTGGAGTACAGACCGAGAGCACAATTACGTCAAGCGTCGTGGCTGTTATTCCAGGGGTGAAGGTGAACTCTGCCATAAGCAATCAACCCTGTATGTATTATATATATGCTGCTACCGATTTTCTCAACCTCTTTAACTCGTATTTTATATCCACGTGTACATTCACTCTTTTAGCCATGTGCTTTGTGTTTGTAAACACCGATCTTTTCCCACGATTAATTATGCAAATCTCATTTATGGAGTTCCTTTATCTCTGACACAATGGATCGTATACAACGACAAAGTTTGTCAACCCCATCAGGAACGTTGGTAACTATGCGTGGTTCACACCATTTGACACCATATGCCTTTTACTACACACCTGTAGTAGACACTGATCCGTTTACTTCCTCGGCTTTATTAGATCCGTTTCCTGTTTTTGAACTCTAATGACGTATCCATAAATTATCTTATGAATTTAAGTATATTTTCAGTGAGTGTGGTTTTGGAGAAATAGCTAATGTGATCTCATATTTTTCAGGCCATAAGATTTCACTGCTCTCGTAGACCTAGAATACGTACGTGTTTGTTTTGACATCTTATTATTAGTCTTTATATTACCTTGTTTCTTTTTTGGGGGTTCGTTGTGCAGCATTTTGTGTGTGTGTGTGTGTGTGTGTGTGTGTGTTTAAAAAAAACCTTTATGAGGGGTATACATTTATCGCTCTCTTAGACTTCAAATATTTTAGTGTTTGTTTGGGTAACCTTTTTGTTTGGCCTTCGTATTTTTTTCCTATTTTTTTTTTTGGTACACTTTATGCAGCAGTTTTCTTTTTTTCCTTCTCATGAGGGGTAATTAACTACTCTGTCAGAACTGTTACAAATTACAATCATTCAAAGACGATGCATTTTGTATTACTTGCAACACTGAAATATTTCTTTTCAATCGTCACTTAGTCAACGATGTGTTTTTGTTATCTATATTTACTTTCTTTCACTTAGAGCAATGTATCGATGAAGACAAATATCACTCTCTGTCCATAAATCCTCTTAGTCTGAATGAACTTAATAACGAGCTAAAGTCTACACAAACATTACAACCTAAAAATGTAACCAATGATTCCTGCAAATATATGTTTTCTGATGATTTTGTACAAGAATATCTATCTACTCCAGATAATTTCTCTATATTACATATTAATTCCAAGAGTCTTGTCAGTAATTACGACGATCTACAACTTCTTCTTAGTTCATTAGATTACAAATTCACAGTTATTGGAATTTCTGAAACATGGTTTCGAAACAACATTTCAGTTAATATGTTTAATATTGACGGATATTCTCTTATTCATATTGATAGACTCAACAACCATGGGGAGGAGTCGCTTTATATACAAGAGATGATATTGATTATAACCTGTGTTCTAAATTCATCAGTTAGTCGTAATCATTGTGATACTGTCTTTATTAAAATACATCAAGAAAAAAAAAACTATAATAGTTGGCTGTGTTTACGGAGTACCTAATACTGATGTCAACTATTTCGACAAAACACTCACGAGTCTGTTGGTTGGCATTAACCCCTTAAATAAAGATGCATATTAGGTGCTTTCGACATTAACTAACTTAATCAAGATATTAATCACAGAACTAATGAATTTCTAGATACAATGTTTACAGAAGGGCTATTCCCTACTATAAGTAAACCAACTCGTGTAACAAGACATTCTGCTACCCTGATTAATAACATATTTACTAACTGTATTCACATGCATCAAAACTGTGGTATCATTTATTCAGATCTTTTGGTCAGTCGACCACCTGTTACAATACGTAATACAATGGCAACATACAGTTGCTATGTCAGACATGCTGTAGCATCACCAGGAAGACAAAGGCAATGATGATGTATTGTACATAGGTATGGAAGCATGCAATTCTATTATTAACGTGTGCTAAGCTGGGGGAAATTACATACCATTGTCTATTCTAGAATATTAGTTTAGTCTGACTTGTCTGACATAGCAATTTATATGTTGCTATTGTTTGTGGTATTGTAACAGGTGGTCAACTTTGGCAAAGTTACATGCCACTTTCTCAAGTTGGCTCATTGATGACTGACGGATGATGTCACAAGGGGAATGAGATCTGGAGGTTTTAGGAGTGGAGCTTAGCAAGTTTGAAAAACAAATATTTCAAAAAATATTAAAAAATCTATGAAACAAATTCAGAAGTTTACATATCAAAATATGAGATGTATGCAGGACTGCACACCAACAGGGATACACTTGTATTTCGATGTCATGGGCCCTTTAAGTTCTGTGTTAACACCCCCCCCCCCCCCCCCTCCACAAAAAAACCACACACATCTTGCAGGCACCTTGTAGGTAGCAATCGCTGGTAGCCCGTGTGTGTTCGAGCGCGTGTGTTTTTCTTTTTTGGAAATATTATTCATTCAGTGCACAACATATCATATTGTTATAAATGAGTAATAAGTTACAACTGTACATAATTCTCTGATGTTTTTGTGATAATAAATAGTAACTAAACGTATAATGTTGTATTATTCATTTGTAATAGTATGACAATAAAAATGGAAAGCTGTGATTTGTTATTATATATTTCATTTATGTTAAATTAATGTAACTCCTTTATCTTGTAATATTATGACAAATTATGTATGTATTATCATTCTGTTATTATTTTTTGTGCATTGAATGAATAATAAAATAACTTTCAAAAAAAAAAAAAAGCCAGAGTCTGGCCGGTTCTTCATATTTCTTCAAAATCAATACATAAAATAATCTGCATGTTAATATTATTATATAGAATATGTTTTTACATTCACATATAAATAATACAAATGAACTTTTACTATTTACATCAAATAAAGCATGAAACATGCACGCATAAAGAAGGCATGAACATAAAAATACAATAAAAAAACACACACACACACCCATACATACACCCACTGAAAACATGCCTATATATTATATCCCCTGTAATTGATCAAGCCCCCGAAGATGGCGTTATCAACGAACTCATATACAGTGTGAGTCCAATAAAAGTTTACACCTAGAAAATTGCTAATTATTTTAACAGTCATCTATGAAAAGTAAATTAATATACATCTTATGAAAGAGTGTTTCATCCCAAATCATTTGGTATCATTTTTGTGAGGTATGTGTTCACGCTTAAGGTCCGGTCACACAGAGGGGACGCATGGGGGGGGGGGGGCGCACGGCCGGCGCATTGACTATCGGAAAAAGTCGTGATTCCGACTTTTGTCAGGATTTGGGAGAAGCTAGCGAGCTGACAACGAATGCATAGCGTGTTGCTAGCGCGCTGCGCGTATGCGGGGCGTGTGCTTCACGTATGTCTGGCGTTGGTCTAGCGCGCTCCGCGCATGTCTGGCGTCCCTTTGGCGTGTACATTCATGCGTCGAGCTCCGCGCACACTTTTGAGCATGCTCAAAAAATCCCGACGCACACAGCGAATGACGACGAATGTATAGCGTTGGTCCAGCGTTGGTCCAGCGCGCTCGACGAACGAGTAACGAATGATGACACACACCTAGCGAACGACAACGCACTGGCCAAAATTGCGAATTTCCAATGCGCTGGCCGTGCGTCCCCCATGCGTCCCCTCTGTGTGACCGGGCCTTTAGATGAACGGGAGGCGTTTGTTTGCGAGAGTGCAAAAATCGACTTGCGCCAAAGTTACTTATGTGATGTTTGAATAAAACTATTGGGATTTGGGTATCAATTCGGTCTTTGCAGATCCAAATAACATTCCTTACAAAATGAATCATGCCACACATATCAAATATCGAAT